TCATCAAGAAGGCCTTCATGGGGTACCGTGTCAAAAGCCTTCGCTAAGTCAATAAACACAGCAATGACCTTTTGACCAATATTTGTTGTTCGTTATTTCATATATGAGAGCATACATACCGTCAGCAGTGCTAACGCCCTCTCTAAAACCAAATTGATTTTGAGAAAGAATATTGTTTATTTTTAAAAAAGCCACAAGACTGTCTTTAAGACAATTCTCCAGGATTTTCGCAAAGTTATTGATAAGGCTTATGGGTCGATTTAATTTTATGTTTTTCCTAGCTTAGTATATTGGACATACAATAGATTGTTTAAAATAAGTAGGAACTGTGGTCTAACTATTTCTAAGTGAGTAAATTTAATTAGTTTAGCACTTATGCCATCCTTGCCAGGAGCACAACCATTTTTTGAACAGGAAAGCTGCTTAATAAATTGATTCTCAGGGACAGGCCTCAGATACATAGAATTTAGAATTGCTTACTTTACTTTGTAGTAGTGTCAGATGAAAAGGGGGGGTATCAATTTTTTTGCCATTTCTTTACCAATATTGATAAAGTAATTGTTGCAAAAATTAGCCATAGATATAGGTATTATCTTCAAACTCTTGCTTATTTGCTTTAAGAATTTTGAGATCAGACAATTCTTTATTATTTTTTATACATTTGTCGCGCCGTCTATGATTTTGTAAATTTTTTTTATGTTATTTCTATTATTTTCAATTTGATAATATTCAAGTTTACGCTTCTAAATGGGATTGTTTAAGAAGTTCCTGTATACTTTGTACTCCTTTTCTAATTCAATGCTAAAGTTTGTAAGTAGTCTCTTTTTCAGTTTATTTTTATATCTAATGGATTTGATTAAGCCGGAGGTAATCCAGTCTTTAATCTTTCATGGTTTATTTTTTCAAAAACGTTTGGAAGTGCATAGGTTTAAAGTTTCAGTAGGTATAGATATTGAGAAAATAGTCACTTGACCAAGTCTCATCTTCTCTTCCGTTGCGTTCCCGGTGACATATTTGACGCAAATAAATCTAACGTGCGCATGCTTGGGACTTATGTTACGTCTTTACGGTTACGTTACGTCCATTGTAAAATGGGCTTAACGACGAGCCCGACGCAAACGCAAACACGAACGCGAACGGATTCTCGACGGCGAGTTTATAAATTGGGCTCTATTCTTGTGGGTGACTTAATATGGGAAACAAAACCATGTCGCCCCATAAGTGAAAGATATTCATTCGTTGTGTTTGAATGATCATTCCCTATATTTACATATATTTATGTCGCCTGTAAAAATTTCAATATCAGTGTTATGTTCGCGTCAAAATAAATTTGCAAATCACTGACAAAATTAGTCTCATTTATTGTCATTTTATTACTAAAGATTTTGAGCTAAAATCTGTAGTTTTAACAATAAAACCAATAGAATGTGGAGAACGGCATACGTCAGAAAATATTGGTACAGCCCTTTTAATATTGAAAAGAAAATTTCATGTGTCACAGACAACGCCGCAAATATGCTTAAGACATGTGAGATATTAAAAAAGAAACATCTCTGGTGCTTTGCACATACAATCAACTTGGTGGTTCAGGAAAACATTGGAATAGCTTCACTCAAACAATTACTTAGTAGATGTAAAGACCTAGTAACATCAATAAAAAGCAGCAACATTGCCAGTGAAATATTTAGGAGAGAACATAATACAAATATGCCATATAAGCTTATCCAATCCAAGAAGTTAGTACACGATGGAAAAGTGCAAACCATATGATAAGTAGAATAATAAAGACCAATGATGCTCTCAGCAGAACCTTATTGAAAGTTTAGTTAAAAAAGCCCCACCACCATTAGCTGCAGAAGAAATTGCAAGTTTGAAGGAAATGGAGCAAATTTTAACCTGTTTTGAAGAGGCCACGCTGCAGATTTCCGGATCTAAATATGTCACAGCTACCTTGTCAATTCCAATTTCATTCGGCATTTTTAATAATTTGATGTTCAAAATAAAGCCCGAGTTGACGACGTATGAAGGAAAGCAACTGTGTGACGGGATTATTAGAGTCTGTTAAAATGAGGCTATTCCTCTTTGAAAAAAGGAGTGTTTGACAAATAGGCACATTAATAGATCCGAGATTGAAGCAAGAAGGTTTCCGAAATTCTGAAAAGGCTAAAGCTGCCGCTCAATTTTTGGTACAGGAAATTATTGTTTTGTACTAGGAGAGCAAAATGAATCATCTTCATCAGCAGGCACAACAGAAGGTTTGATAATGAACAACAACGGTGAAGGCTCGAGCCAAGAAAGTGGAAGCAGCTTATCATTTTTTTTTTTATGAAAGACAGAAACCACCAGAAAGTCAAATCGACAACAGCAGATGCAATAACCACAAAAAGTCTATACATGGAGCGGCCAAATGCACCTCAACATACCGATCCTCTTCTCTTTTGGAAGGTGAGAAAGAACTATTTATACAATAGTAAGTTCACAATTATTTAAATTTTATTTTTCACAAGTGAGTGAAAGGGACTTACACCCCCTTGATGAGTGCACCCAGAAATATCTATGCATTCCAGCTTCATCTGTGGAATCTGAACGAACATTCAGCACAAGTGGGTTATTAACACAAAGAAAGTCACGTTTGAAAGGGAAAAATGTAGATATGTGAACTTTTTTTAATAGGAATCGGTGCCTAATTAATTAGCCAGTATTGTATTTGGATAAATTTAAAAATATATCATGTATGTAAGAATAGTATATTAATTCATATTTTCATGTTTTGTTATCAAATGATTTATTTGGAATAAATTCCATTATTTTGAAAGTGCGTTATTCAATGATATTTTACCATTTTTTTTAATCGTCCCAAAAAAGTTATTACTTCAAAACTATCGAAAACTATCGATAATAATCGATAAGCGAACTGTCACTATCGACAAAGACCTATCGATAAATATCGAAAATCTGATAGTCTAGACTAAATAGTTCTCCATTCCTACGACGGGGGTCAATCGGACGATGACGTCGATGACGGTATGCCAATCTAATATTCCGACTCTTAAGTCAGAATTCCGAGATGTAAGTCGGAATTCCGACTTATAAGTCGGAATTTTATACTGGGAAAAAAAAAAGTTTTGCGAAGAAAATTTTCATAATATATTTCCAGGAATCAACGATGATTTTCTTGGAATACTTAGATTATATTTTTCTTGAAATCAATTAAACCCTTTTAAATATATAGGCTCGTTGCAATAAGAAAATTTTCTTTCTTTTAAAAACAATCGAATAGAAACGTAAATTTCAACGTTGCGTCAACTAAGGTAATAGAAGTCCAAAACTCATTCACAAAATAAATAGGGTCCAAAATTTTTCCTTCAGCAATATCACATATGTCAATAATATCATAAAGAATATAGGTAACTGAACTTACATAATCAATCTCAATTCCTCCATTTATCGGACGTAAAGCTATAATATAGGTTATAGCTTTAAGAAGTCGACTGGGTCTAGAAAAAACGTTTTATGTTGGGGAATATTCCTAAAATTGTGATCGCACTAATCGATTTAAATTTGTCTTGCTGAAAATTGAATAACAAAAATGTGCTATTTTGGTGTTGCTTTTCAATTAATCCTTTGGGGCACCTGTTGCATTTGAAGCTACCTATTTTATGTTTGCTATAAAATAATAGTTTTCCTTAAGGATTATTTTCTTTTGTAATATTTTGATAAACAAGTTTGCCGTGATTTTTGAGGCTCGGCGTGAATATTTTCATATTTAATGCGTAATTTGTAAGTTAGTTAGTCAGTGTAAATGAGAGTTGTATAAACTTAAGTAAAAGCGATACCTAAGTGATCATTGTACTTTTTGTAGAGTCAAATTAGTTCAATAAAAGTTGTTATTGTTAGTAAAGTGAGTTTTTGGTAGACCCGTAACTTAAGTGTGGCTTCTGACATTGGGGAGTTGAATTGGATATTTTAAATACATTTTTGCAGTATTTAGGAAACGAAGTTGATTCGTGAAATTCCACACAATTTCACCCACGTGCTAGGTAAGGAATCCACAAAAGCTAGTTACTCTGCATTTATTCCTAAAAAAATGTGCCCTTATTATAGCATTTAAATTCCATGCGTTACTCTTATTCCTAATAATTTTGGTTAAATGATTCAAATATAAAATTTATTTACTGGCACAATTGAATTCCAATAAGCAAAAAATAGTTCTCCAATCCAAATGAAATAAAAGACAAAACTCTATAAATTAGTCATCCGAAGGAATATTGTCATTTTATTTCCATATTTGTCCAGTCTACCCAAACTATAATCCCAAATCCCGGAACTTTCAATATTTTTGAATTAAAAGTGCATGGTTCTTTGACAACGAACACTTGAAAAAAAAAAACAATACGGAAATATTTCCAGTTGTTATTTGGATTGACCCTTTGTAAATCCAATAAACGTTGAGCCAAATTATTTGTGATCTTCAGGTTTTCTATTAACATTGACATTGCTACAAAAAGCAAATCAACACTTTTTATTATTTTTTATTGGAATGGATTTGAAAGCCATCTATATTTTTGCTATTAAAATTTGATGTTAACATCATTATCTGCTAAAACACGATAAATCTAGTACCTACCTAAACATTGAAGTAGATGATATTGTATTGCAGATCAAGCTTTATTCCAATTTCAATTATTGACGTAATAGGTAAGACACAAATTTAAAAGGAGTAATTGTATAATTGGACATTTTAATTAAATTATTTGCCTAATGAATACCTACCTATCATCCTCAGCAAGAGGGCACGATGAAGCAAGGGCGATAACGGAGAGACACGAACACACGCAAAATAGTTTTAAACTCAATGACCCTCAATGATAATTGCATAGTCCATTTAAAGCGGTTAACATATGCCATGGTGCTTAAAGACGTTGTTGTGCTAATAGAGTTTTATCGTTGGCATAAGTGACTTACTATTCGATTAAACCACATTATTTGTTTTGATGCAGGTGCAACAGGTTTAGAGCTGACCTACGTCGATATAATGTAAAGCAAAAATGGTCGATCATCATCGAAACAGCTTTAGCCAGATTGAAGACAGATCCAACGGTTATGAAAGGTAATAAGTCATCATCATCTTTTCTATTTTATTTGAAAATTTATGTGTCAAGTAATAACTGTATACAAGCCAACGCAAAATGTAACTGAACATATGTACGAGTCACATTAAAAATATACGTAACAAGAACTCAAAATAGGCACGAGAGCGGACAAATAAATAATTTTCACAAAAAGTTATGCGGTAAAAAAATATGAATAGAGATCTACATTACGGTAGATATAATAAAGAATTATCGTTAAATAAAGAAATCAATCAGAGATAAAAAAAAGCGTGCGATTCTTGGGATTTTGTTTTTTCAAATAATGATCATCGCTGAATTGCAAAATGACAAATTTTGAAATATTTATTGGATACAGAAACTTATCTTTGGTACAGAATTTTCGAAGGAAACCACATCAAATCCCAGTCGAGAGTGGCCCATTTTAAATGTTTATACCTTTCAAATCAGGTGCGGTTTGCCCCATTCAACTTCTCTTTTTCAAAAGTTTTTTTAAGTTTGTCAATTTTTTTTTTTTTGACTTTTTGCAATACGGAAATATTCAACTATTTCAAACACCCTGTTAACAACGTTCACTGAATCCCGATCAAGCTATGCCTCTCCCAACAATCCTTCCATCATTTTGGAGGTCTTCCTCTTGGTCTATTTTCTGTTGGTCTATTGTATTTAGCGCTTCTTATTATTTTCCATTCTCTTTATTATCTATCTTCTCCTTGGCTGACTTGTTCGGTCACTTTTCCATCGGTTTATGGTCGAACGTTCTCAAATTACATCTTATGAGGCCTTTGGTAGTTACCATAAACTTGGTTATGTGGTTGTTGATTACGTATCATGTTCAGGTAATCGTTTGGTAAGGAAGCTGGGGAAGTTTTGCCTTATTACCACGTTTATTTGTATATGCGGAGTTTCCAGATGTTCAACAGTGATGTTAGGAACTGTTAGTTTTGCATTTACAGTTGGTAAGTTTTAATATTGGTTTACTAAACGCTTTTTCTCGCATTATGGAAACGGTAAGAGATACACGTTCGGTTAGATTGGAGCAAAGTTTCGCAATATCTTGCTTAACAAAACGCCACTTCGAAATACTTCCGGATATAGGTACCTAGTGAAAATAGTGCATTGGAAAAACTTAAGTAGATGGTCGTGCATCCGATGCGTTATTTATCATAAAAAAATTATTTATCAATGGCCAAATGTGTCACTGCTATTAGGGGATCCAAAAGCTCCGAATACGATTGAGAAAAATGTAAATGTGTATTAAAAAAAATGAAATTGATGATGATCGACCAAGGACGAAACGTCGGATTTCAAATTCGGCTACACCATTGTGTAGAGGGGAGAAAGTTGCCCCAATAAAGTGAAGTTTATTTTGAAATATCTTTCCAAATGAGCTTTTTTTCTTGTATCTCCCGAAGTATTTGGCATATTCCAAATTTCGAAGTGACGTTTTGTTAGGCAAGAAATTGTGCAACTTTGCCCCATTTCAACCGTACCTGTATCTCTTACCATTTCCTATATCCCAATTGTTGCCCTCCTCGAAAAACGGCCACCCTGTATACACAATATAATGTTTTCACGGATAGTGCTTGCTGTATATGTTTAGTTTAGTCCGGGTGTACATAGGTAGTTTCTCCACGGAGCGTTGAGAAATACTCGTAGGCATTTTCAAGTCTTTTTCCTCGTCGGTTGCTCTCTGGATTCCGACTGAGGTTCTGTAGTGGTTGAGTCTGATTTTTTAGAGTTGTGCCTGCGCAGGTGATACGCCAGAGTTACCCAGGTTTTGTTTGGCTGTCCTAATTGCTGGGTCGCGCATTCGCATAAGTGTTGTGGTGTTGTCGGGCTGTTCTCAATGACTCCGTTTGCTGAGCGTTGCGTGAGCAGATTGTATCGCGACCGACAACAGCCGCTCTACAGATTCCTATGAAGAGGAATAGGTACTAAAAGTGCTACGACTATCCACGAAGGCTCAGGAATGGCAGCTGGCAGCATGGCAGTCAACAATAAAGAACAGGTAGCCATTCTTCTAGTCTCTGTGGCGGCAGTTCAAGGAAAGAAGAGTCACACATACATGAGGATAGATCTGGGAAGTCAGAAAGGCCAAGCGCTCTAAGGCGCTGCGATCAAGCAGTCCACTTAGACAGATAAAGATATTGAGCAGATGAATAGATGGAATCATTATGGATCTGAATGGAGGTGTAGACGCAGAAGAGAAGCTGGTGCATCTTGAAAGACTCATATCGGGCGGATATGATTTGAGAAGGAGGCAGTATTACGGAATTGCATCGACAAGCCGGTCGGATTCTAAGAATCGAGCTGTTTACATCTAGTGGCTAACGCGTGGGCGCCAGATTTTTCTAGATAAATCCCGAACACAATATCGAACATAAATGGCGCGAAGTTACTCAGTTAGAGTTAATCTAAATAACAGTTTTTGAGTTCAGTTTGAAAAAGAATAAGAGTTGTAGTCAGTTTAAAATAGTAAGATTTGTTGTGTACGGTTGAAATAAGCGAATTTTTATAAAGTGAGTTTTTTCAATGAATGTTGTTATTGTTTTGTGAACTGAGTTTCAGTGGACCCGGAATCCGTGACAGTATGGTATATCTTTGAAGGACGGTTCGGATTCAATAAACAGTGCCTCTCGATCCTTGCCAGATATTTGACTTCATTGCAAAGAATATCACATACCAGTATTCTCCACACAGTGGCAAAAAAAATTCTGTTTTCAAGTGATTTGTTTTTTAATCAATTCCACACTGTCCATCTATGTTTTTTCTCAATAAATAAATAAGGATTTTCTTTTAATGTGTATAAATATGAGTGCCTAGCCATAAAATAACTTAACTTAAGATAAGAATCTCAAATTATTATATTCCGCCACTGATAAATAGCTTATGCTGATGAAGGACTTCTCATAAGTCCGAAACATGTCCCGATAATAAAATACACCATCATAATGGATAAGACTGAAGGTTTTTCTCTTCCCACTTTAACCTTCTGCTCCACTTAGCTATGGACTGCTTCTGTGAAATCAATAACTTTTTTAACGCGTTATCAAGCTACCGCGACTGTTGATATCTGTAATATTAATTTCACTAACATTTGTTTTATGATCCGATTTACCCAAAAATTGGACCAGATTAAATTAAATCTGGTTAACAACAGAACCAATGAGTGACGCATTTATTAATTATATCTTTACACATTCCTTAATTTCGCAATTTCCTAAGAATAGGCTGCGAATAAGATTAATTTATTTGAAACCCCCTTTACAAATTTATTGTACGAGGTAAGCTCTTTATTTGTTCATCAGGACAAATATTTTTCATCTCTTGAAACTGAAAATATTAGATTTCTTGCAGCTGAAAATATTATAGATGAAATACCTGACGATTACAAAGACAATCAGGCCTATGATGTTTCCTTTTCTGCTATTTTTTAACAGCAACGTTAAGTAATCTGTCACTGTTTATTCTATACGTCAAAAAAGAGAGGGATATAGATCTTGAGCTATAATACAGCCGTTAAAATAACAGGAGAGGATACATCATAGGCCTGTTTGTAAGTGCTAGACTAACACTCATGGTAACAAATTTTTTCAAATATCAAACAATCGTCTTTTAAAAATATACCATTAGTTTAAAACCATACTTAACGAGCATGGTGGCTGAATGAGGGCTATTTATAATAGGACTCATTATAATAATATACAAAAAATTGACACAATATTATTGGATACTTCTACTTATGTTAAGCTAAATCGAGATTCTACAAATTCAAAATAAAGAACAAACATTTCGGAAGAGGGATCAAAAAATTCAACTAACCCAAACTATATAACCTTTACTATTATTGAGATTTTTCAAATACCTCTGAATTGACCATGGCATATACTGAAAAACGGTATTCTACAAATAGGCCAGGCAACATAGGGGACAGATAGGGGAGAAAAATCGTGCCAATTTTGGCACATATTTTGGTGTAGGTGTCGTAAATAACATACTAAAACTCCTGGTGAGTGGGGGACGAGCTGATGTGGTGGGGGGTTTCTGAAGGTATGTTTTCTAGTATTTAGTTTCTAGCCAAAAAATATAGGAGTACTGAATAATTTTACATGAAATTCTCGATAAAAAAGGTTCTCTATATGTTTTCTCTGGGATTAGTATGCACGGAGATAGGGATGAAGAAAAAACGATATACAGGGTGTTCCTAAATAGCATGTAATAAAATTTCTTACAAACATAGGTGCGCAAACGCTTCGTAACCGATCTACAGGGTGTTGAAATTTTAATATTTTTTAGCTTTTTCTTCTTCGCCTATTGTTATCGCCTATCTTCTTCCTCTTGTTTTTTTTTTTATCGTTAAGCCTCTTCTTGTTGTCGTCTAGCTTCTTCTTCTCGTTTTTCTTTTTGTCGCCTAACCGCTTCGTCTTGTTTTTCTTTTTAACGTTTGGCCTTTTGAAGTTCCAACATTTCGCGCAGAAGTTCTTCAATTTTTTGCTCTTCAATTTTTGTTTGATGTCTCGTAATAGGCATATACAGAATGTTCTGGAATTTACCTCAAACCCAAATATATTTCCTGGTCTATGATTGAAGTACCAAACACGTCGGTGAAGTCACAAATTGAATAACTTGCTTTACCCTCAAATGGTATCTTCTAAAATTTTCTGGAAATTTCTTTTCTGAATGTTAATTGATATAGCAAACACGTCGGTGAAGTCACAAATTTGAGATCTTCCTTGATTTCAAAATAGAATATTCTAGAACTCACTTGAAAATTCACTATCACAGTCAAAATCGGGTAAACAGTCACTTCCAGGGTAATTTACACAATCGGTTAAGTTTTTGTTTGTGATTGTCACTGCTTACACGTACTGCTTACACTGACTAATTGTCCCAGTTTTAACTTAGTGTCCGCACTACTCTGCAATCGGATTTCACTTTGCAGTACTCGCATTACATCCCACTTCTGACATCAATATCACGGCTCTGGCGTGCGTGACAGAAAGAAATCTTGGGTCCGTTTATTCAAAAATCAAAGTCCAATTAACACAACAATAATATATTCAACGTTACTATAACACTCTGACAGTATACTTCAGTGGCGTAGCCAGGATTTTGTCTTGGGGGGGGGGCAATTTTGCAGGAAGCGTCTCTTGTGGCCCTACCGCGACCGCCGCCGGAGGCAAACCGCCGGAGGCAAACCGCCGGAGGCAAACCGCCGGAGGCAAACCGCCGGAGGCAAACCGCCGGAGGCAAACCGCCGGAGGCAAACCGCCGGAGGCAAACCGCCGGAGGCAAACCGCCGGAGGCAAACCGCCGGAGGCAAACCGCCGGAGGCAAACCGCCGGAGGCAAACCGCCGGAGGCAAACCGCCGGAGGCAAACCGCCGGAGGCAAACCGCCGGAGGCAAACCGCCGGAGGCAAACCGCCGGAGGCAAACCGCCGGAGGCAAACCGCCGGAGGCAAACCGCCGGAGGCAAACCGCCGGAGGCAAACCGCCGGAGGCAAACCGCCGGAGGCAAACCGCCGGAGGCAAACCGCCGGAGGCAAACCGCCGGAGGCAAACCGCCGGAGGCAAACCGCCGGAGGCAAACCGCCGGAGGCAAACCGCCGGAGGCAAACCGCCGGAGGCAAACCGCCGGAGGCAAACCGCCGGAGGCAAACCGCCGGAGGCAAACCGCCGGAGGCAAACCGCCGGAGGCAAACGGCCGGAGGCAAACCGCCGCTGGCGCGAAATTTTTGGGTGCCACGCCCCTTTTTCAGGTTTCTTTACGCTATTTTTGGGACTGTTTATCTTAATTTTGAAGAAATATTCATAAAATTTAAGGGTCTTGAGGGGGGGGGGCAAATGCCCCCTTGCCCCCCCCTGGCTACGCCAGTGCTATAATTACTTCACTAATTATCTCAATCAACTTAACTCTTACAATATTCACTATCTAAATTGTATAACAGCCAATTTTAAAACTAAAAAACTACTAACTCATCCTTCCCTTTATATATCCGTAATCTATTCCTGTAACATCCCGAATAACGCAATAGCCTTTTTCCAGAATAACTCTGTACGTCTAACATTCAGCTTTGCGATTCTGTGCCCTGGTACGTAGATATCCCTCACAATATATATGCTTCTAAATATAGGGTGTTCAGTGTGTGTTTAAACAAATTATGTTATTTTTCAGATGGACTTTCAACCTAAAAAACAACGAAAACGACCTCATCAACATACTAAGCAAAGAAAATGACAATATGAGCACATCAATAAAGCTTGCACCTGTCAACTCGAGTCATATTTATGCGCGTCGACACTCGGCGCATGCGTGCACTGTGACTGAGAATGGAAGAATTAATGTCAACGTAAGTTCCACATAACTATTTTTAATATAAGTAATATTCTTGAAAGTCTATAAGCTTTTTCCAGTATTTATGATAAGCAAAATATTTAAGTGTCATCCATCTTGAGTCCTGGAAATGAGAAAAGTTATTTTCTTATGCCCAGCATATGTATACAAAGAAATTAAAAAAGTAGGTACTTATCTACAAAACTAAGTTATGGACCTCTTTGGTGATAAATTCTTAATGCAAATTTCTATTATTACTACAATAGGAAACTTATTTCAATAGGTTTTAGGTAATATTATTATTATAAGTGAGCAATTGCTAAATAGTAGGTAGATACATATATTGGATACCAAGGTAGATATTCTTTTATTTCTACCGACATTCTATTTTATTTGCAGCCGCTTGAAAGTATAAACTATTGAATCGCTGGGAAATGTAGCAACTAAATTCTGTATATACAAAATAATAAGCTAGTTTCTAATACCTGTTTCCACAGCATAGAATTTTGATCTATTTTTCTAACTTCTGGCGAACCAAAAGATGATATGCTCATTTATTGAAACCTACGGTGCTCAGCTCAGTTCGGTCAAGGCGAAAAAAGTAATATTTTAAATATATTATTATCTTTGATTATACAGAAAGAGTGTAAAAAGGCATGAAAATAGGTTCAGATTCGTTACTGCGAACCACGGAGAGAACAGTCAAGACATATCTAAAAGAGGAAAATTTTTCGCATTTTTAAGGCGGTGAAATGTTGAGCAAAAACCGAAAATGTCGAGCACGATAATATGTCTATGAAATACACTGATAATTCGTTGAAAAAGACGCCCATGAATTTTCCAGTGATTGAGGTTACGTTGACATCTTCCCATACCCGTAATACCATTTCCAAGCTAGGATTCTGAACCTTTTCCAGTATGCTGCTCCGAAATTGCATCGGTGTCAAGAAGCTAGCAGGATTTGGGACAGATTCATGTTACCGACCGAGGCGCGAGTTTTCAGGAATTCGATTGTGTTAATTAGGTAAACAAACATTTCACGTGTTCCAGAAACTTTCCGATTGAATATATTTTTTTTTGTATTGTATTGCGAGTTAGTGAGTGACATTGAATAAATTTGTTATGTAAAGTTCTCTAAAAGCGAAAAGTAAATTTTGTAAAGTCAATTAGTTCAATAAAAGTTAACAGTTAAAGAGAGTTCTAGTGGACTCGTGGAATCCGTGACAATATCAATAAACATAGGTCAAATAACTTTCCATGGGGAAAGTTCAAGTGCTAAACAATTCAAATGGACCAAGCGATATTTTAGGTCAAACTTGGAGTCAAATATTTTCAAAACAAGACAAGAAATCTAGATGTACATTCCAGGATTTTGTCGATAATTTATTTCTGAATCCTTCTGCTTGGTCCAATTTTTTTACATTAGCGGCCCTTTTTTGTCTTCACGGTTTGGAAGGAAAGTACCTATGTATTTTCAACCTATTTTCAACCAAAGTTTATAACTACCGGGTTTTCATAAAAATCCTAAACGCATATTTGGAGTCACTGATTTATCAGGATAAAAACAATTTCTCAAATGTCTGATATTCCTTTTATTTTCAGGGAAGTCGATATTTTTGTGAAACGCTATTCCCATGTTTTGTCGTTACCACCTTATTATTTTGTAGAAGCCTTATGAGAGGCCATTGTATAATAAGTACATTTAAGTTATTTTCATTTGATGCACAGCAGTGGCGTATATATATTTGGGTTACTTTCCCTATTTATATTAAAACGGAGATATTAGCTCTCGGCCTCTATCTCCAAGTAATCCGTAAAAAGATCCAATCAAGTAGATATAGATAAAGAAAGTCAGTGTGCGGACGAACACACCTATGATTACAGTTATCTCCAGACTGACTAGCAGTGGGTAATTCTCAAAGAACCACCCAACCATTTTTATTTTGAGAGGATCCACCCTACGGACAGGATCCACCCCTCTAAACTGGAGTCGGAGTAGCTCATATAAAAGAAAAACTCGAGATAACTTCACCCCAGAGCGGTAGCTAGCAAATCGTAATCAAAATTCCATTTTTTGATTTCTTTTTCCTCATTCTTCAGAAGGATTTCCTTCTGAGGAATAGAGAAGCACATTCATATTCATACTTCCTAAATACAAATAAGTATTAGGCCACAATAGTAACAGCAAAATAATGGTGAGGTAGGAGAGATAGAGATATAGATAAAGATATAGAGAGGTACGTGAAGATAAGTAGTGAAGATCTGTACAGAAAGAATTCCGGACAAAATTCATGACGATAATAGCTGGTGAAATCTGATCCTGCATCATGAACACTGGCATAAGGTATTAAGCAGGTAGAACTATTAATAATAAGCGATAATTGAAATGTATAATTTTACCGGTATGCGATAATTAGAGGAGGTAATTAAGAAAATAATATATGGCAACTTCAGCAAACTACCAGACAAAAATTGAACCCTAAGGAAACGAAATTGATAGATAAGCTGTGAGTTGTAGAGATATCGAAACGAGAACACGAGAAGGTATGTACGTGCGGAAAATCAAGACCTAATTCAAAGTTACGTTTGAGTTTGAGCCAAGGTGAATTATTTTAAAAATCCGAAAATAATGGAGGTAAGGGTGAGCTGAGATAGTAAAGTTAAGGAATAAATGAATGACAGTGACATGGTATAAATCAAAATGTTTACATCAACCTAGATACAAAGATAACTTTTTAACAATATAGACATCTGTAACGTGCCAAAATTGCCTATGACTATTTCACATTTATTTTAAATTTTCAATTCAAAATTCCCATGGTTATCTAATTTTTCCCTGATGTAATTAGGCTTTGTTTACATTTTTCCTTTATAGAAGTTCATCAATAATAATTACAGTAGTTGTCGATTCTGTAAATTTTTTAATCTTTAATATTTAAATTCTATTTTCATTTGTGACTAGTTCTTGTTGACGACTAATGATTATTCTCGATTTCAAGCAATATTTTAATTATATTTTCCAATTCATTTTCAAGTAAACAAATCAAATAGTTCTTGGGTTAGTTTTTCCAAATCAAATGGGTCCGTTCGGAGGTATTGCAAACTGCACGTACTCTGTTCGGTTGCTAAACCCAGTACCAGATTTAGTTCCGCATCCGGTTCCATGTACCACCGGATTGCTCTCTATTCTATAGTGACACTCAAGTCATGTCTGCCAGCTGACTGCGGAAGTGTCGTTAGTTTTTGTCAGTTGACCCTTCAATTAGTAATGGTTTTGGAGCATCGATTATTTAGTAGGCGTTTACGTTTTCACACCACGAATTGTATAATTATCGTCGTATTCTTTCAATATGATTGTTCTAGTGGTTTATTACTTGTTGTTGTTATCATTAGTCGTCAGCTGATGTCATTTTCCTCTGATTATATTGTTGTGTGCAATATTTGGTACTTACAATTTTCCTCGATTTCTTTTTGACATTTGTCGTTACTTTGCCCCATCTCTACTCTTCAAATATAGGACAGCTAATTAACTCCTTGTGGTGGAGCTTCCTTTTACGATTTGGTTGTTCCGAGAAAAGGATCTCTTCTGAAGAAATACATTTTTTCCATGAACATTAAAAAATAAACTACTTTCGTCATATTTTACCATTGCCGAAAACTTTCGTCACTAGTGATAAAATATCCCATAACGTTAACTTTAGTCACTAGTGACGAAAGTAAATTATTACAATTTTACATTCTATATACATTTATTTTGAAATATCTCCTCAAGTAAGCTCAAAAAAAAAAAAATTAAATCGATTTTGCAAAATTTCGTTTTTTTCCCGATATCTCGTTCAAAATTTTTCATGTCAAAGTACCATTTTATTGAGCGGTAAATTGCGCCACTTTTTCCCAATCTAATCAATTGTAACTCCGACCGTTTTCCAGATCCTGATGCTATCCTATCCTTATCTTGGACACACTTTATGTCAATGCAATCCTATGCAAAGCATGACGCACACACAAAAAATGTCCAAATCGACAACGGTATGGTAAATCATGATGTGTACTTTCAAAACAAAAGATAAATTGGTTAGACAAAGGAGAAAAATAAAATGTCCAAATCAACCGCGATACGAAGATAACGTCTTTTGACATTATAAACATCAATGAAAAAGATGCATCGATAAGACAACGGTAAAAGATATATGTGGAGGCAATTTTGTGCATGACACAGGATAAATGTCTATATCGGCACCGGCAAAATAAATCATGATGTATACTATCAAAGCAAAGGATAAGTTGATTAGACAAAACAAAACAAAAAATATGTCATGACACTGAGGTATTAAAATCATTTAATGCTATAGGAGCAAGAAAACTTTACTATGAAATAGGGATAATAATGGCGCATTTATATAGGACTATACGTAGGTAAGGACAAGATTTTCCTCGGAGTGGGAAATGAGTCAAATCAAGAGCTCGCATAGGCAGGAGCTGTGTTCCTGAACAGCTATCCTTCGCCGGGATCGCTAGAAAGTACTATTCGCTACCTGTTAATTCAATTATTCATAGCCAATCTCAGGTGGAAGAAGATGTATGGTATTCATGGAGTCGACCATTTTCAAAAGAGAAGTAAAATTCGGGATTATTTGAAATTGTAGCGGGTATCGAAGGGAACTCCAACACTATGCACTACACATGTTTTTAATGTTTTTATTCAACAATTTAACTGGAAAAAAATACTTCGTCGGCAAAATACTAGCAATAATTACTGATAACTGATAATGAACTTGACAACTTGATCGGGGAAACTGACTGACTGATTGATGGCACTTGTCAGACATGGTAGTGGCTATAGCTACGGCAACGGTAGTGGCTATGGCTTCGCAAGTGTGACGTTACAAAATATGTAATTATATTTCCGGGAAGAAATATCGAGAATTAATGGGTAGACAAAAAATCTTGATTGGATTTTGCTCGTTAAATTATAAAAGATATAGGAAAATATATTATTGAAGAAATAAATCAATT